CTCTCTCTATATATATATATATATATATATATATGCAAACAAGTTTCATTTGATAAAACCGGCAAGGTCTGTCGTTGCAGTCACTTATCTCAAGTTCTTTTTAGAGAATTTTGATAGAGTTCAAGTCAGGACTCAGATCATTGTTTAGCTATTCATATTTTCTTTACAACGTCCGACTCAGACGGATGTTGGAAGACAATATTAGACAGACCTTGTCGGTGTTATTCAATTATTTGCATACATACATACATACATACATATATATATATATATATATATATATATATATATATATATATATATATATATATATATGAGTGGACATTGAAGTCAACGCCGTTTCATGTTTATGCGCAACTGTCAGACAATTTATACTGTCGCCTCTGGGTGTTGATTTTTATGTCCATTTTTATATTTACATACACTCTATCCCTGATACTGAGCACGTTCATCCATAAATATAGCAAACCTTAAAGCTATATTGTTGATGCACTATCGAAAATATTGTGTGCAAATTTGTGTGCAAATATTGTTTGGGTCACTTTATTTAAGTCTAAGGGATCCATTTTGATGGAGACGGTGGAACCTAAGTTTAATTCATTAAGTTAAGAAATGTTTCATGGTCAAATATTAGCTAGGACTATGAATACACACACACACACACGCGCGCGCATACACACATACATACTTACACTTCGTCAGAAAAAATCCAATAAAGACTGTGTTGCTCGTGTTGAACCACGTAATTTTATAATTGCCTTAAATAAGACAGATGCTAGCATCTTAATACTAAAAAATGTGGGAGAGAAATGTCTAAGGAACCTTTCGTCAGAGAAAAATCGTTGGCGAAAATTAGTATTTTATTTATAACCTGAACAATGAAAACGATTTAAGGACACTGAATGGGAGTCTACAGTTGGCATACAATTAAAATATGAAATCCTAAGAATCAAAATTGGTAAATCGATTTAATTTGTAAAGTTAAAGACGAATAAAACTGATTAACAAGATTGACAAATGCACCAAAAATGAATGTTCTCCCAAAAGAAGAAAGGAGCGACAAAGTTCTTTTTTCGACAAAGAGTCGACTTTTTCAATTTGATAGCGACAGCTTCAACGAGCTTTAATAAATGCCAAGATCGTACTCGATGTAGAATCTGAAACCAATTCTCTCTGTATTGGCCAGAACAAGGAAGATTTTCAATCAAATGTTGGCCAATGCCAGCATCCGAAGCCAAATGTGTTTGCACGTGTTCATCGAAAATCAACTACTGAAAAAAGTCTACTTGGAAATCGACCAATTCTAGTAGATTTTTAAAAGTTCTCAATACCTAATCCGTACAGCAATATTCTTAAATATTATCGTAAGATGACATAATAATCTATCGCGATTACACCACCTTTATATATATATATATATATATATATATATATATATATATATATGTGTGTGTGTGTGTGTGTGTGTGTGTGTGTGTGTGTGTGTGTGTGTGTGTATTTTATTTAGGCAGCAATCCTTCATTTATACATGTTTCATTAAAGACGACACATAAGTTGCTGCGATTAAGCTTTTTTATTTAATTTTTCTTGTGTTCGAACAAATGTTTTCTTTTCTGAACACGGAGTGTTGAAACTGTCCAAACGTTCTGTAATTCTGAGCGCTTTCGGATATACTTTTAGCCATTATCAAGGATGATTTTATTTTTACTTTTTAAATTGATGCATGGATTTTGTTTATGTTTCTAGAGTTACTGGGATGTTTTATTTTCAAACCGAATCAAACCTGATCAAACCGAACATAAAAATAATTACATTAGTCACACTACTAACTGTCTATCCAGACGACTTACGTTACACCTATCCGACCACAGCTCCATCAGAACCCATTTAAATGCACCCACAAACTTACCAGACTCCATCCAAAACATATTAGTAGAAAATACAAATTGTAAAAAAGATTAAAAATAATGGAAAGCTTAATAATAAAAAAGAAAAGGCCAACACTCGGTAATATTAACTACGAACACGGCCACAATGTGCTGACTGTGTTCGGAATATACAACATCCCCATAACTCTAGAAACATACGCTGTTACCTTGTAAAAATTATCTGCGCCACACACGCACACTCACACACACACACATATATATATATATATATATATATATATAATATTTGCCTTCAAGAACATTTGCTGTCAAAATGCACAGAATTTATATATATGTATATTTGTGATAAAAAGTATAGTTTTCAGCTAGCTATATTGATATGGAAACGTACACAATATCAGAGATAGAGCGTATGTTAATTTAAAGGGACTCTGAAGTCAACACCACGCAGCAACAGCCTGTTTCATGTTTGAATGTAATTTTTTAGGTAATGTGTGTTGTGTCTTGGCTGTCTATATATATATATATATATATATATATATATATATATATATATATATATATATATATATATATATATATATATATATGTGCTAGTTAATGGTGTATTATGTGTTCTAAGGTCTATTTCATTATTATATATATATATATATATATATATATATATATATATATATATATATATATATATATATAAAACGTGTGAAAATGTATATTTATCATCCATCATATTTTACATGTCAATTTTAAAAAGTTAACATTGACTAAAAATCCTATAGAATATATATCACACACACACACACACACACACACACACACACACACACACAATCTTCATATTTATCTGCCCCAGTCTCCTCCTAGAGAAAATAATCCAAATTGCCAGTGTAAGACGATGGAGAAAGCAAATAAAAATACACATATAAATATGAAATACGGCAGACATGCCAAAATTAAAGATGGACGAATCATCAAATTATATCTGACCGACAGATATACTGTAAATTAAGTCAAGCACAAACCAAAATCATTCCTCGAAGAACACCACAAGAGCTAAAAATCTTCAACTTAGCCGTGAGAATAACAGAAAAAATCCTGTGCTTTTTTCCATAAGTAATTCGATATTCCGATTAATAAACTTGGATATCCAGTTCTTGGGTTCTGTTCGTAGCAGAATTTGGGATCTATTCTTGGCAAAAGTTTCCAGTTCCAAACAAATATTTAAACAACACCGCATGAGTATTTGTATTTGAGTAAAAAAACAATCGACATAAAACTAGTGTAACTGAAAACTTCCTTTTTTCTACTAAATTTTGCCTTTGTTGTGTCCGTTTTATTTATTCACCACCCTATTTATTCATTTGTAGACCTGCAACAAATGATTTTCCTTTTAACGAATCTTATTTCCTGTATCGAATGGAAATCTAATAAAATAACCAGAATGAGATTGAGTTCTATTTACAGGATGTGTGACGACGTCTTAGTGACGGAAAAAAGTGAAAATGGCTTTTATAACTTCAGTTTAAAGCATCAACCAATTCGCTCATTCGTACAAATTCTAAATTCATCCGAGAATTATATGGGTTGAAACGTTGAAAGAAGAAGAAAAAGAAGGAGAAAAAGAAGAAGAAGAAGGAGAAAAAGAAGAAGAAGAAGGAGAAAAAGAAGAAAAAGAAGAAGAAAAAGGAGAAAAAGAAGAAAACGGATTCAGATTACGAAGAAAAGTAGAAGAAAGATAAGAAAATGAAGAAGTATGCGAAGAAGCAAATGAAGAAGAAAAAGATAGAAAAAAGAAAGGATACAGAAAAGAAAGAAAGAAAATAGAAAAAAGATGACAATGAACGAGAAGAAGAAGGAATCGAAAGAAAAATAGAAGAAAAATGACAAAGAATGTAGAAGAAAAAAGAATATAAAAAAAGTAAAAGAAAGAAATCGGTTTAGAAATGGGAAGAAGAAGAAGAAGAAGAAGAAGAAGAAGAAGAAGAAGAAGAAGAAGAAGAAAAAAAGAAGAAGAAGAAGAAGAAAACGGAGGAGGGGGGAGGAATAAATGTGTCCGAAAAATGCGAAGAAAAATAGAAGGAAGAAGAGGAAAAAACAGAAAAGCAGAAAAGCAAAAGAAGCTTGATTTTTTATCTTACTTCTCGATAAATCTATGTAGGTCTACGTTCATTTCAAATGTTTCTCCCATTACCAAATATCAAATGAATAACGGTTATATCCTGATATCAAATGTTTAACAATGAATCATAATATCCAACCGATAGCAGTCATATATTGATATAAAATGCATAACATTCTGGTCGAAGTTGTAGATTGACATCATCTCTTAATGTCCCCATTCTATGGAATCAAATTGTATTGCGCCAATCTTCTAAATAATTATTATCTATTAACAGAGAAAAAATGAGGCAACTGACTCATTCACAATGCAAGGATTATGAATTTATTATTATTATTATTATTATTATTATTATTATTATTATTATTATTATTATATGAAACTTTATAACTTTATAACCGTCTTAATAGAGCCCAAGTATTCTTCCCATTGAATGTTCAAATAAATAATAAGTGGATGTCACGTGACAACAAGTCTCTTTTATACTCCGGCATATTTCTCAATATTCTAGATGTTTCCGATAATTTTGTTGTCTGGATGGTTCCAACAATTCTAATTTCTACTTCTTTCAGTCCTTTTCCCAGACTTTTAGAGACCGGTTCGAGTGTTCCCATAAAAACTGTTATGATAGGCACTTTCACTTACCAAAGAGTCTTCAGTTACTTATCTATGTCGAGATATTTATTATTATTATTATTATTATTATCATTATCATTATTATTTCATGAATTTGCGTAGTCACACGTTATATTTGCAGAGTTATATTCACTGGGATTGAGTGACAAGTTTCTTCAGATCTCCATCACCTTCCGCAGTCCCCTCAAAGATTTTTCGGCACGCTATAATTTTGTGTCTCACGCTTAAGATCAAGTGGCAATAAGTTATCACAAAACCACAGGATTATTATTATTATTATTATTATTATTATTATTATTTAAATCTATGAGTTTTCATAACGATAGCAATTGACAGATTTCTTTAGAATTCAACAGGCAGAAAATCTTTTCAATATTCCGGCACTTACGTCACTATTCTTGCTGATTTTGCTATTGGTTGCTAGATACAGACTGTTTGTGTTCCCAGTCCAGGTTAAGAAATGCTCGAATACTTTGCCCATGTAAATCAACCTTTCCTAGTATTTCAAGTAGGAATTTTTCGTATTTTAACAAATGCTTTTGTGTAATCTATGAAACATAGATATATAAGATTTTCTACATTTGTATTGCTTGCTCTGGTGTGATTCTGATCATGAAAATAGCATCTCTTGTTCCAGGGTCCTGAACAAAGCTAAATCCTTCTTGTCCCATTTTCGGTTTAATTCTGTTACGGATTTTATTAATTAGAAGTTTTATGATGCGTTTCATTAAGCCGATTGTCCGATGAAATTCGTATTCATTTACATTCTTTGACATTCTTATGAATGTACATCTGTTGAAGTTTTCTCTTATTTTGCTGCTATATTTAATTTACCATTTCGTTAATCATATCGATCCCGAAATCATCTAAGGCTGGCAGTATATTTATTAAAATTCCATTTAATCTTGCTGCTGTGTTTATCTTCCTCTGAGGCAATTCCGATCTTATTTCAGATTTTAATACTAAACGTCATTCCATATTTTTATGAAATGTAGGTTTTCTCTCTTTGGTTGTCATAGGACAAGTCTTTAATATCCTTTTTCTACATGACCGTACCATTTTAGATGTTATACATCCTGTCGAAAAGCACGTTTGCTATCTTACAATTTCTTTTATACTTTTATGTATGCCCGTTTTATCTGTATTATGTAGTTTCCATCGCTGTATACTTCTCGTTGAGTCATTCATCTTTTACTTGCTTGCATTTCTCTCTAATATATTAACAGCATAGTCGTTGCTTTTCATATATTATTCAATTAGCTATATCTCGTTTCTCTTACCATTGTGAAATATATTTCAGTTTTTTGACTAAAAGAGTGATAACGTTTATGTAACGAAATGCCTTTGTGTGTAATTGTAGTAGTATTTCCAACATTAGTAATTATAGCATTAGTATGTAGCCATAGGAATTTATTAAACATAGTTTAATACGGCAAAAAAGCCACATGTGTAATAACAGTTATTTTAAGCGAGCCTGCTATAAGTGCTTCACGGTGCGTCACCCGGGGACGTGAACCGATCATTCCGATTGCATTGTGTTTAATATCTAATCATAGTGACCGCTCCATCCAAACGAAATTGACTTATAAAATTTGATGAAAACTAGATGGCAAATATTTGCCGCGCCACAAGCGATTTTTAAAAAGATGAGGTTTCTGCATTCTTTCAAAATCATTTCCTATCGGCTACGGATTTTACAAAATTCTTCAAACCACAAACGATCGCCGTCAGCTATGACGGCATTAAAATTCTCTTCAATTTAACAAAGATTTATGAATAAAAAAAACAAAGAAAATACGTGAAAGAAGAAAGATTTCGGTGAAGAATAATTCCCCGTCAAGGTTAAAGTATTTAAAGCAATCAAAGCTTATTTGGTTCGCGCATAATAACATTTTTTTTCAGCGTGTTTCAGAATCAGTAGAGTTTACAAATAAAAAGACACGTCCATGTCATTGAAAAATCCAAAAGAAGTTATTGTTTTTAGGGTTTGACACAATATTTGACAATGTGAAAGAAAGGAAGACGGACTCAATGCAATTTAACATTAAATAAAGTAAATTTTTAACTTCCTTTGACGCATAAAATAAAATTTCATTATGTTCAACACTATAAGAGTTCACTATATAGTTGGCAAAAATATCGATTAATATAAATACGTTGCTTACACTCACGCACACAAGCATACACACACATACACGTGCAAACACACACACATACATATATATATATATATATATATATATATATATATATATATATATATATATATATACAAAAGTAAACATCCATGGCCCAGAAATTGCTTTTAAGCATGAAACAAACTGTCGCCTTTGGGTTTTGACGTAAATATCCACTTTAATATTTACATCCGCCCTATCCCTGATATTGAGCAATTTAACCCATAACTATAACATCCCTTATATATACATATATATATAATTATTTTTTATAAAAAAAATTATAACATAAGTATGTTATAAAATCACTACAAAAATAGCCATTTTGTTTCAACACACTCTGTGTCTTATCAAGTGATGATGTTGAAAATAAAAAAATAAGATTTTATTTTATTTTCAACATCATCACTTGATAAGACACAGAGTGTGTTGAAACAAAATGGCTATTTTTGTAGTGATTTTATAACATACTTATATTATAATTTACTTCCAAAGGTTGAAATGAAAAATGAAAAGAAATTTACACATTTTTGACGGGCCGTATTAAGTATATGTAAATTAACGAAGTGAGGGGGGAGTAAAGTCTGATGATCCAGAGCCCTTTAAAAGGGCTGTGGTGAAATAATTTATTACATGGAACCTTAAAGTGGTTTGTTTTTTATTCAAATATATATATATATATATATATATATATATATATATATATATATATATATATATATATATATATAAAAACTATAAGTTGATTTCTTTTAGTTCTAGCGTTATCTTTTTTTTTATTATTTAATTCATAGCTTATGGTATGTACACAGGAAAGGACAATGTCATTTACAAGAAGAAGAAGAAGAATATAGACATTTTATTAATATTACATTAGTTTTGATGGTTTAGCATTTGAAGAGCAAATCCCGAACTTAATGGAATTAAGCTTTGCTTAGGAAATCGATGACTTGTACGCTAAAGGACTGAATGTTATCGGGCACCTGCGATTTATGGAGACGATTTTCACTAATCAATAATGGAAATGAGTGCGCACTTGAGCATTGCGAACAATCGCGAAATGTTGACCTTTGACACGTAAATGTTGACCAGTTTAGTTGTACACATAATACAACAGGGGATTCGACTAGTGGACAATCGTGAACAATTGGTATATTAGCGACCGCGGGGTCCTAAAAGTCATAGATAGATAGATAGATAGATAGATAGATAGATAGATAGATAGATAGATAGATAGAATATCCTAGTCTGACGGAAGACCAGAGGTTTGGAACACTTAGGAAGGATCCATATTACTGTAAAAGCTAAATGGTCAACAAGTCCTGTTTGTTCAATTAATCAATGGCAATGTACACGCGTCTATTTCCTATTGGTACAAACAATGACACCCACCATTATGCCGGCGAAGTCACATTTCTTTTCTCCTTTCGGCTACACAGTCACCTTCTCCGTGATTTATTTATACTGTTAAACGCTATTTGGTGTTGACATTAAAGAAGTTCAATGGGTTTAAAGATTCTGCTCATCGTTTATTTCATACACAGCAGGTTATAGTATTATAACTTTCTATATTTGGTATATTTACTTTCAAACTGTGATCTAAATGCTAAGGTGGTTACCACTTTCATGGTAGAACATGGCTTCATTTGAATAACAGGAATTTAATTATAAAAACCATAAGTAAAATAAACACAGATTTATAAAGATCACAAAAGACGAGATTGGCGGCTTTAAAAAATACTTTCTTCTACAATTTGATTTTTATATCTGAACATGCGAGTCCGTTATTTCCTTTAAGCAAGAATCGCTTAGTTTGGTAAGACAGGATACATTTTGGAGGATATAAATCATAAAACTTTAATTATTTGATGTCAGATTTACGTAGTATTCGATTACACATAAAAATATACGCGGACACACAACACACATGGCCAGACACACAAACACACACGGACATACGTACAAACATACACGGGCAGATACACAAACACACACGGACACATTACACACATTACACATACACGGATAGACACACAAACACATACACAAACACACACTGACAAATAACACACACAAACACAGAACACACACGGACGGACACACAAAACAAACGGACAGACAGACACACAAACACGGACACACAGCACACACAGACAAACCTTTTGACATAACAAATGAAAAATTTCGCCCCCCGAAAAAAAAAAAATTTTATATCTCGTTGTTTCCATAAAGCAGACATCAGCCAATAAAAGGATTTCTGGAAGGCAATCAAAAGTGTCGAAAAAATGATGTTGAAGTCGAAACAACATAATCAGTTGCTAAAAATTTTCAGATTGTCATGGAGTCCGTCTTAACATGTACAATAATAATATCTTGATTTGGCCGGTTATTAATTAATTATAATATATATTAAGTAATATATTAAGTAATATATTAAATATATTAAGTAATATATATTAAGTAATATATATTAAGTAATATATTAAATATTATAATATTAAGTAATATATTAAGTAATATATTAAGTAATATATTAAGTAATATATATTAAGTAATATATTAAGTAATATATTAAGTAATATATATTAAGTAATATATTTAAGTAATATATTAAGTAATATATATTAAGTAATATATTAAGTAATATATTAAGTAATATATATTAAGTAATATATTAAGTAATATATTAAGTAATATATTAAGTAATATATTAAATATATATTAAATATATATATTAAGTAATATATTAGTAATATATTAAGTAATATATTAATATATATTAAGTAATATATTAATATATATTATAATATATATTATAATATATTAAGTAATATATTAATATAAGTAATAATATTAAGTAATATATATTAATAATATATTAAGTAATATATTACAATATATTATAATATATTATAATATATTGCTAATATATTAAGTAATATATTATAATATATATTATTGTAATTGCTTATAATATATTAAGTAATATATATATAATATATTAAGTAATATATATTATAATATATTATAATATTATAATATATTATAATATATATAATATATATTATAATATATATTGCTAATATATTAAGTAATATATTATAATATATATTATAATATTATAATATATAAGTAATATATTAACATAATATATATTATAATATATTATATATTAAGTAATATATTTATAATATATATATTAATATATTAATAATATATATTATAATATATTAAGTAATATATATTAAATATATTAATTAATATATATTATAATATATTAAGTAATATATATTATAATATATTATAATATATATTATAATATATATTAAGTAATATATATTATATTATAATATATATTAAGTAATATATTAAGTATATATATATTATATATATATATTATAATATATATTAAATATATTAAGTAATATATTAAGTAATATATATTAAGTATATTAAGTAATATATATTAAGTAATATATTATAATATATATTAAGTAATATATATTATAATATATATTAAGTAATATATTAGTAATATATATTAATATATATATTGTAATATATATTAAGTAATATATTATAATATATATTATAATATATTATAATATATTATTGTAATATATAATATATTATATATATTATAATATATATATAATATATTATAATATATATTAAGTAATATATTGCTATATTAAGTAATATATATTAAGTAATATATTATAATATATATTATATATATTATAATATATTATAATATATTATAATATATATTAAGTAATATATTATATATATATATATATAATATATTATAATATATTATAATATATATTAAGTAATATATTAAGTAATATATATTACAATATATTATAATATATTAAGTAATATATATTACAATATATATTAAGTAATATATTATAATATATATTATAATATATTATAATATATTGCTAATATATATTAAGTAATATATTAAATATATATTATAATATATATATATATATTATAATATATTATATATATATTAATAATATATTAAGTAATATATATTATAATATATTAAATATATATATAATATATATTATAATATATATATAGTAATATATATATATTAAATATATTTAAATATATATATAATATAATATAAATATATTAAGTAATATATATTAATATATATATAACATATATATTAAGTATATATATATATAAGTAATATATATAATATATTAAGTATATATATATATTAAATATATATATTAAATATATTAAGTAATATATATATAATATATATTAAGTAATATATATTAAGTAATATATATTAAATATATATTATATTAATATATTATATATATATATTAGTAATATATATTAAGTAATATATATAAGTAATATATATTAAGTAATATATATTAAGTAATATATTTAAGTAATATAATATATATATTAGTAATATATATAATATATATTAAGTAATATATATTAAGTAATATATTAAGTAATATATATTAAGTAATATATATTTGTATATGTGTTTCTCTAACCGAAATCTATTTGATTTCTTTGTAAATAAGTTGTTGAAAAACTTTGCCCAGTAAAAACTATTACACCCTCGAAACAAGTGATTATTAATAATGACTGAAATCTAAAAGATATATTGCTAATAGAAATATAAATATAGCCTGATAATCTTGCCAAGATCAGTTGGCTAATATCCTCTTCCATCACATCGCCGTAGCGTTTAAAAATGGAGTCGTATTCTGTTAAAATCAGCCTTCAACATTTCACTAAATGACCAAATGACTTGAGTAAGCAAGATTTAACAAAAGCTTCCAATTTTAAGTAGTAAGAATCGCTTTTCCACAATGCTGTTTTCAAGTATTTTATTTTGCTTTTATTTACTTATTCATATATTATTTTGTAACTATATTTTTAATTTTCACACCAGTTAGTTTAATTTGTAACATGAGGCTATGACCTGTCTCTGCGAAACTGAACTATTATGTCGGGTCTGTTGTACAACTGAATGTATCAACCAGAATAAAATAGGTTGGTAAGTCTTATTAGGTTAGTTGCACCTTCTTTTTGCATTTATTTTGATGTCGTCAAAACAAGATGGCTACAAATTATTCTAACATTGCATATCAGCCGATATAGGCGCCTCGTAATAACAATAAAATTGAATAACTTTGACATAGCAAACATATGTACGACTTACATAAATTTGTTTTGGCGTTTCATTCTCTAAAGAGATGTGTATTAATCCAGAAGCATTTGTTGGCGCCTTCATTTTCCTAGACTTGGTTTAATAATCTGGATGTATTATGTCTATTTTTATTTTAATCCTCTGAAGTTCACGAATCATTTTCTTAGTGTCTGTATAAAATTGATCAAGAAAAAAAACGTAATTATCCACATAATTTTTATTTTCCTAAGTACTTTCAATCTTTTATGTAAAGTGCTCCCAGAATTTGAAGTTTTTGTTTTTTCGAGGGGAGTATAGTTGTATTGTCATTTAATATTTCTCTAAATCGTGAATGTGGACAGATTGAATTATAATCATTCATAAGAAATATAAGTTTTCTTAACAGAGTCGTAGTGGTAAAATCAACATATATATTTACATTTTTGTCAGAGATACAATCTCTCAAAAGACATTTAAAATTATATACAATTTATTTTATTTTTTTTTTTTTTTGCAAAACGCTAGTTGAAGGAGAAGAGTTATTACGGATATTTTTTTTTACTGGGATGAATGGAGCTATATTAGTATTTCTTTTTTTCTTTTTATGTGCCATGTCCTTTCAGGACGTAGGCGATCATGGCTCTCCACCTCCTTCTATCTCTTGCAGCTCCTAACAAGTTCCTTCCCTCTGCTCTCCCTCCAGACCACGTTCTGTCATCCACCTGCTCAAGCTCGTCAGGTATGTCACGCGTTGCTTTTCCTTGTCTCTCTTTCCCTTTATTCGACCCGTGAGTATCAGATTCTCCAAACCCTCCTTTCTCATTATGTGTCCCAGAAATTTCAGCTGCCTCTTCCTGATGTTAAGTATAAGCCTCCTCCTTATTTGTATCCTCTCCAAGATCTCATCGTTGCTCACACGCTCGGTCCACGAAATAACATTTTTTTCATCTTGTTTGTAGTTAGAATGTATAAAATTAATAGACATAAATGTTTAGATTATTCAACCAAACATGCTTGAATATGTGTGTGTGTGTGTGTGTGTGTGTGTGTGCGTGCGTGTGTGTGTGTGTGCGTACGCGCGCGGACAGTCATGCACATTATATCCAAAGAAGTTTGATTAAATACAACCAACAAGGGCTGTTTAATTTTTATTGCATTTTTCAATTTTCGAAGAATGTGTTGTATGTTTGGATGGAAATTGTGAATAAATTCTTTTGAAGTTCATGTTTGTTCGGATCTGCAGCTGAGAACCCTCAGGCTTAGCGGCTCGGAATAAGAAGCTGTGCTCGAATTCAAGTCGGGTTCGTTACAATCCCTTACGGCTTTGGAATGTAGATAGCCAACTCCTCCCAGATATGGGTTAAATAGTAGAACTTGTTTCTGGAAAAATTATTGTTACTCTCAAAACTTGTTAATTCAATATTCATTCGTAGAAAAAATAATTGATCTTTCAATTTCAAATATGATTTGGCTTTAAATAACCTACAAAGTGTTAATAAGCTTAAAAACAAAACAATCATGTTTGTTCTGTTGTTTTAGTCAGATACTTTCGATCGTCTCAGTCATTTTCAAGAACAATGTGTTGTCTGTGTAATACGGAAAATTCAGTTGGCTACATCCTGGAATCTTTTAGAAAGCTGAAAATTTAAAATAGTCCACAGTGATCTCATGTGCAACGGTTAAATTTAGGGTCCTTTTTATGCACATATTAAATATTGGATATACACTACAATATACCGTCTCCTGTGCTTAAAGATATTTTATTTAATGTGGGCTGTTTAATTTGTATATTGATAGCTTCTAGCAGTTTGAATCTTTCCTTGTATTTGTTGCTATATAGTATTTAGACACAAGACATCACCCTGATATATAAAAAAATAAATACACCATTAACTTATTCTATCGTAACTAGACACAGTCTAATTTTAAACAAAATATCTTTTACCACAGAAGAGGGTATCTTTAAGTGCTTTTGAAATCGTTAATACGCGTATTTAGGGCCCCAGATGTGTCTAAAAGATGACGATTCTGTATACTGAAAAGTTTCGGAACATGCAGCTAACCAAATATTCGCCCATTTTTTTTTTTTTCACAGATCAATTCATTGGGCGTCAGCTGGGCAAATCATGATATGAAACAAAAATTCATGAAAATGCTATTCCCAGATAATATTGGGTAACCCCGAAAATAACAAAATGATTGGCACCTGAATAAAAAAAAAAACTTAATCTGGTTTGTTCCAGTAAGAAAGGGGGTGGAGTGGTTATGTTGTAATGGGGAATCTTCAGTAATTAAGTTTTTGGTCCCTCAAAGGTAGTCTGAGCCACTAACATGACATCTAGCTCCGTTGAATTTTTAAAGACCAGCGTTCAGACATAACTTTAAAATATAGGATCAATGAAAAGAAAATCATTTTATTGCACAACGATGCTCCAGCCCGCAGAGCAAGTGAAACTAATGAATATTTAAGGATTTAAAATGACAGACTTAGGAATGGTTAACATGAAGCCCCAGTCAAAAGACCATTGTGAAGAGAATTGTCAAAAGGTAGGTTTATGAGTTGGTTGGGTAGTGAATTTTTTTTAGCATCATATCAATCACTATGTGAGATTTAATACCAACATCTAAATATTTTGAACATAATTTTATGGCTTCATCTGCAGCTAAAATGTATTGTTGGTCATTTGGCTTTAAATATGTATTGTTGGTATGTTGATTTTGTTTAGTGCCATATCAATATCTGTGGGTTAATGCCAAATCTAAATATTTTATACGAGATTATAGGCTTTCAACTGCAGATAGTTTTATACTTTCAAGGTAAAGTTCTTTTTTTTGTTTTGTTTTAGATATAATAATTTGTAGATCATAAAATGTATTTTGGCAATTATACTATAAAAATGTATTTTTATATTTTTTTAGTGTTGCCCTGATTGTCGTTTTGCTATAAAAATTTATTGTTACTCATTTTATTCTAAAAAGTACTGTTGATTTTTGTTTGAGTAGGGGGGTCATTATTTACCCATATCTGTGACCTTAACAGGTGCTACTACTCAAAGTAGGAATGGACCTGGAAACAAGAGCAATTAAAAGTTGGTTACAGGCTCCTCGAAACTTCCAATCTCCAGATTAGATACCTAGCTACCGGATGAATTTTTCGTCAAACCCAGGACTGTAGATTCATAAGGGCTGTATTTTTTTTTTATTTTAAAGCTATTACGTCTGAAGGGATTCTGAAGTAAACTATTAACTAAGTCATTAAATAGAATGGAAATTATTTCAATAATTAATATTACTTTCTCATGATGTTTTAAATAAATTATTGTTGGGTCAGTCATTAGGTTTCATTTTTTTTATTCTTACACTCATACGGATTTTCGATATGAGTGCATAAAAAAATAGGATAGGCCTAAAGATAAGTTTCTCTAAATTCAAACATAAACTCAAGTCATTTCATTCTGTTGCTTATGATATCGGTACATGCGCAAAAGATTTATATTTGAACAAAATCTTCTGACTTTCCAACAATTAGTTTATAATTATTGCATTTTTTTTTCTATTTTGCATGAAATTTTGAACAACACTGTAGATTGCAATTTAGAGGCATGAGATTTAGATACGCATAAACTGAAACAAAAATTATATCACCTTAGCTATCTATCTATCTATCTATCTAGCTAGCTAGCTAGCTAGATAGATAGATAGATAGATAGATAGATAGATAGATAGATAGATATGTGGAAGATTCCAGATGAAAACTTGATGATTTGAATTGATTAAATGTATTAAATGAAAGCAAATTATGACACTTTCATTCAACATTGCGTGTCTATAAGCAAAATTCGGTTTATATTAATTATCTTCTTCAAGCCTATCATTCATGCTTTAGCACTTCCTTCCGCAGGGCTTTTTATGCGCATGCGTTCAACAAATTCGTCTGATTATCTTTCTCGGACTGAATGCCGAGAGAAAAATATTCAGAAATAAGAAAAGGGTGAAAGAGACTGGAAGATTAAAAGGCAATAAAGAAGAAAAATCTACGGAAATTTTCCGATTGCAAATAATGTGATTTCGTCTTTCTATTTCTCTTTCTTTATTTATCTTTCTAGCTATCTCTTCATATCTTTCTTTCTCTCTTCTTTTCCACTTTTACCATTTAACTAATTACTCCCCCTCTCTCTCTCTCTCTCTCTTTCTACATCAATTTTTCATTCTTTTTCTTTTACTCTTCACTTCTCTCTCCTTCTCACTTTTACTTTCTTCTTTTCTTTTACTATTTATCTTTTCTCCCTCTTGCTTTCATTTTTACTATTCTGCTTTTTCTTGAGCGTTTTTTAACTTTTGTCATTAAATCCAATTTTATTTCTTCTTCTTCTTCTCTCTCTTCTCTCTCTCTCTCTCTCTCTCTCTCTCTCATTCTCTCTCCCATACACACTGCCTCTGAATGTTCTTCTGTACTTGTTTACGCCCGTTATTTTCTTATTTTTCACTCCTTTGCTTTTCATTCATTTTCTTTTTTTCTTCACTCACTCATTCACTCACTCACACACTCACTCACCGTTCTTTTTTAATTTATCCTTCTTATCTCACCTTAATTCATCCCCCCAAATTTATTTTCTCTTTTGATCTTACTCTATCAATTTTTTTTTAAACAAGACTCTCTTTCACTCACTTTATTTCCCCCTCGTTTTATCTTCTATCAATATTCACCCTCTTTTTCTTTCTCTCAAGTGTGGATATTTCCTAAGATTAGCTTAATTTCTTTAAAAGTTAAAATTGGCTAAATATGAGACAAGAAAAATATGTTGCACCAATTTCCCAAATTTTAACTTTCTATTACAAATGTCGTTAAATTATATTTGAATTAAGACCAGCTACGAATTTATTATATTCGAATGACAACCACTGATGCCTGTGTATAATAGCAAATTATTTCAGCCATTAGGTAGGCTTTCCTACGGAACTACTTCGACTACAATGTAGGCTCTCATACGCACATATTTCACTTATAAATTAGTTTCTCTCATGCAACTATTACAGCCATAAGCTAGGATTTCTTATGAAAGTATTTCAGCAATGTTAGGATACCTGAAAAAAGTATTTTAGCCATTAGCAAGGATTTCTCAAGCAAATATTCAGTAATAAATTAGACTAACACATACTATTTCAGATGCAAAGTAATCTTTCTCTCCCCTCTCCCCCCTCTCTCTATCTCTCTCTCTCTCTCTCTCTCTTACAACTATTTCAATCGCATAGGAGCTACTCGAGCGCAACTATTTCAGCCACGAATCAGGATCTTTCACGTGTAGTGTCAATCACTAATAATTTTTTCACTTTCCATTTTCAGATTAGCCGCATATTTTTGTCTTCGTCGATAAATACGAAGACAGCCTTCAAGCTTAAAAATATAAAATGTCGACAGTTTCAGGTGAAAATATTCAACTGGAATGACAACAGAGAACAGAGTTTATTTGCCGAGCCGATTGTTGCCACTTGGAAAATGTTTTCTAGGTTGTTTTTTTTTTTAAAGAAATGTAAAATGTAAATAAGTTAGCTATGTGGAATGGTTTTGAAAGGCAGCAAAATCAAAAGTAAATAATGAAACAAAAACAAAAGAACAAGCAAATATTGATTTCTTTTCCTCTGAGAATCTTCATCGGAAATTTCCCTCCATACGATTTCCGTATGCCATTGCCGACGATAAAATGGGTGGCGGAATCATGGCATCTAAATGCGATAATAGTTGGTGGCTGAAAGCGACGATGAGAAATCAGCAGTCGGTAAGTGTCGAATTGAGATGATGTTTTCTTCTCTAACTGGAAAGGTGAAAGAAGCAATCGGTCCGCAAATAAAGCATGAATTTGTCCAAGCTTTGCGTTAATGGAATGAAATCTAAGCCCGACAGATAAGAATCCGTTTTCTGTTCGGATTCAATAGGGACGCTGGAGATGGACAGATAAGCAAGATGAATCACGGGGTTGTCAGATTAAGTAAATGGAAAAGCATAAAATAGATAGATAGATAGATAGATAGATAGATAGATAGATAGATAGATAGATAGATAGATAGATAGATAGATAGATAGATGTTTCCAGTACCAAAAAGCATATCCCATAGTATATGCTGACATACATATGGTTCCCAAAACATATTCATGAGTTACACAAAACGTCACTTTCGATTGATTCAAAACTTTGATCTCTATAAAATACTAGGATTTAGCTAAAGGAATTTTGCATTATGATACTGATAGCACATGGTTCTTGATAATGATGAAATCTGTCGGACGAACTTGAACCAAATAGAATAGAACAAACCTGAATTTCAGACACTTTATCAAAAATTTCGATCATCATATACAACATTTTATAAGAAAGTTTTAAAAATATAATACAAAATCAAACAAACTTTGTCGAGTGAATTCAATAAAACGTTTGTATATATATATATATATATATATATATATATATGTGTGTGTGTGTGTGTGTGTGTGTGTGTGTGTACAAACACGTTTTATGTAGTTTGCAATGGATAAATTGTCGTCTAAATTATGCAAAAATGAAAATAACACTGACATTTCATTTTAATAGACATATTTACCAAAATTACATAAGAATATCTTAAAATAATAAAGAGTAAATTTATTTAATAAAATCGCCATTGGCTTCAACAACGGCTTCAGACGACTTCGGAATCTGCTGCAACTCTTCTGGACGGTCTCCTTGCTTAAGTTGGTGATGCTGCCATAATTCTTGCCTTCAGTTCTTTAGGAGTTTTGCTGGTGTCTCGCTCAACTGCGCCCCACACATAATAATCAAGGGAGGTTGCAGTATGGGGAGTTAGGTGGCCAGATGTAAGGAGTGATGGGTCGCAGAAATGATCTGACGGCCATGACTGGGTTCTCCTGCTTGTGTGGCATGGTGTAGAATCCTGTTGCCAGACATGGGGTCTTCCAGCAGTCACTATCTTGACCCAGGGTAGCACTTCCTCCTGAAGGCACTTGAGCTAGGCCTCCGTGTTAAATCTGACGTCATGTGGAAAGATGAATGGAAGCATAATGTTGGCATCAATGGTAATCACTCCAAACACATTCGTAATCACCATTAGACTCATCCAACTCTTTCCGAATTCTCTGCACTGATATCCAAACACATTGAAAAGTTCGTATTGGATCATGCTGTTTCCAAATTTCTGACGGAGTGAACTGCGTCATCGCGCTCTTTTTCACACAGACGGTGCCCAGCTGACCTTACTATACTGTGCAGGCGGCAAAATAAAAAAAAAACACCGTGCATGCGCGAAATTAAAAATATGAATTGGCGGCAATTCACCCATCGCACCCTGAATGTTCGTGCAGGAAATTGCAGGGGGTGGATATATAGGAGGTTCACTAGCTACTGTTTTGTATACACAGTTGGTTCATAGATAAATAAAGTTATACATAGAATTGTATATAGTGTTTGTTTGTTGTTTTTCTGGTTAATCCTCTCTATAAAATTTTTATTTTTTAATCGTTTTTTTTCCATTGGTCTCCCACGATGTCCTCAAATATTTGATGCATGTCCCACTACCACAAAACGACTTAATATTTTTAAACAAAGTCCAACAACAAGAAAAACGAAAAAGAAATAATGCATGTCTTTTAAACCTTAACCTCTACTAAAAAAAAACTTTAAGTTCTTATTTCTGAAAACTTATTTATATACCATGATGTCCTACAACATAAGTAAATAGCATTTAAATATAAAAGAAAAGCAAATCACACTTTTTGTGAATAAAAGTGGCTTGCACCAAAAGAAAATAGCAGAAACCAACTGAAGAAGTTTTTCAGCAAATTTTTATTATGTTTTAAAGTAAAAGATTAATTCTAGCAATCCTTATGCTAAAGCTTATGGCCAAATCACACTGAAAACGCTGATTCTCGTTCGATCACGGAGGTTAAGCAGCGTCGAGGCTGATCAGGACTTTGATGAGTGACCGCTTGGGAAAACTTTGTACTGTAAACGGATACAGTACTAACTTCTTATAATCTGAAATATCTGTCCGAAATTCTGGGATTAAGCGTTATCATTATTTACACTAGGACAGTTATCCTCATCTTTGTCATTTTTATGATAAAGTTTCGGTCATTGTGGCCCCGGCCTTTATCAGATGTATGTCGATGCGGATAACCTACAGGGAATTCCGAAATGATCCCATTATTTAATCTTTTTCCACTTCCTATGTCTAGGTATATCTCGCCTAGTTCTTATTTTTAGTACAGATTATATATATATATATATATATATATATATATATATATATATATATATATATATATATATGATCGAAATAAAAATAAACTTAATATTACGAGACATATTAAAAAAAAATTTTTTTTAAAATATGTCTCGTAATATTAAGTTTTATACTTTTATTTCGATCATTAAATTTTGTACCTACAAAAATATCTTTATATATATATAAATATATATATATAATGTGATACAATATGCTGTATATGTCATGCTCAATATTAGGGATAGGGCGTGCGTAAATATACGTTGTGTTTTTGATCGACTATTTGTATATACAGGTCAGTGGTACATCGTGAGTAGTCTAACGGTTAATTTGGTAGGCGTTAACTGTTATGTTTCGAATTATTCTAGGGGCTATTAGGGGAAATAATTGTGGATCCGGATGCAGTTTTGGTGCTAATTATAGTCTTGTTTGATAACTTTATTTATTTGTTATTTTTATTATTTATTATGTTATTATTGGTTGTTATTACGTTTACTTGTGTTTATGTGTGCATGTGATTTGTTAATGTGTTAATTATTTACTGCTCACCAAATTAGTCAATAGAAGAATACAATAAACTACCCACAATGCATCATTGACTTGTGTATATAAATAGTCGTGCAAAAACAACGCATATGGCATGACGATTGCATATAAGCAAAAAAAAGGACTGTCGCCGTTGAGTGCTGACTTCAATGTCCATTTATATATATATATATATATATATATATATATATATATATACACATGTGTGTGTGCGTGTGTGTGTGTGTGAGTGTGTGTGTGTGTGAATAAAGATAAAAGAAAAACTTTTCTTTACCTATAGGTTTCGTTCCCTGAGGGACTTTTCAAGGTAAATGAAAGGATTTTATTTTGCTGCATTTATTTATGAACCAAAGCAAAAAAATATCGTTAAGTTTTGAATTTTCAAATTTTGGATATACTTTAAAATTATTGTAACGGTTAGCTGTGTAAGTAAAGGTAAGCTACGGAAGGAGTTAGGCGATGTAATTTAATCCCTAATAAACGTAATAAACGAAAGTCAATAAATGCTATCAATGTCGTTGTTGAATTTTATTTTCTTATTTATTAATTTTATTTTCTTATTTGTTTATATATATATATATATATATAGATACACCTAGAAAGCCAGGCAAACCTTTCCTGTTTCACTTTACGGATCGTCAGAGAAAGGTTGGCCAACCTTTCTCGATCCGTTTAGGTGAAACCAGGTAGGTTTGTCTGGCTCACTAGGTGTATCTTTTGCTCTACGGTTGTATTGAGCTCTTTTGTTAGTTAGTTGTTACTCGTATCGGGGTTTTTTTCTTTGGGCTTCAGACCTGCATCTGTGCGATTTTTTTTTTTGTCGGCAGAAGTTTATGTTTGTAGCTCTTTCTTTTTTAAAATTTTTTCCCTCGAAATTGATTTGATTAACAAATCAAAAATTCGAGGGTTTTTCGAAACGAGTCTAGTTATTTATATTTATATTTATATATATATATATATATATATATATATATATATATATATATATATATATTAATGTAATACTAATGTATATATATATATATTAATGTAATTATTATTTATTATGTTATTTTAATTTGATAAATTATTTATGTATGTATTTGTCGTACATAATAGGAGATCTTGAGTTTATATTTAATTTAAACAAAAATTTAAGGTCATGTATACTGGCTTGGATAAGGAGAATTTCTTTTAAGAAAGGAGATATTTGAACATATTTTCATTTGTCTTTATTCATATTATATTTTACATGCATATCGTAGTTATATCTTAATGATTAAACACACACACTTATATATATATATATATATATATATGTGTGTGTGTGTGTGTGTGTGTGTGTGTGTGTGTGTGTGTGTGTGTGTGTGTGTGAAAATAAAGATAAAGTAAAACTTCTTTACCGACGCATTTCGTTCCTGAGGGACTTCTTCAAGGTAAATAAAATATGATTTTATTCTGCTGCATGTATTTATAAACCAAGTAAAAAAAATATCGTCAATATATATATATATATATATATATATATATATATATATATATATATATATATATATATATATATATATATATATATATATATATATATATATATATATATATATATATATATATATATATATATATATATATATATATATATATATATATATATATATATATATATATATATATATATATATATATATATATATATATATATATATATATATATATATATTGACTACTAGAGTCAGACCTTCCATGATATTTACTCGGATTAGATTAGACGGAACAAATTATGTAATCTTATAAGTTATGGAGATCAAACGTTTAAAATAACGTTTATCTCACGTGTTTCTAGTTTGATGGATTGATAGAAACAAACATTTTAAATTTGAATAAAACGTTCTGATGAAATGTAGGTCGATTGAAAAATAGCTTGCATTACATGTCTTGTACGTCAATCAATATATATATATATATATATATATATATATATATATATATAAGATGTAAATATGTATGCGCTTCGATATTTATGCAAGCATGTGTACGGACTTGTTTTTAAGCGCGTTTTTTTTTTTTACCCGTAAAATTTGAATGCTTAAAAGTCGAGTTCACTGATGCAGTTCATCTTCGTTCAGCCTGCTAGAAATTTCCATCTCTAATGACCGCCTCTTCTTTCTCTTTAATTTAAATCCGTATTAGGTACATGGACAAAAATACATCATCATCATCACCAATAGCGTTTATAAACAGATATGTTTCTATAAATAATTCAAGAATATGTGTCTGCCGTGCAAGCATGCATGCGTCTGTGTCGGCGTGTGTCTGTTACCAGTTATGTAATAGTAAATATTTATCTGAATTTTTTAAATGCGATTTTATTTCGCATTGATTTATACCCACCTTATCCTGGTTGTTTTTGGGGGGCTATTATTATCATTATTATTATTATTATTATTAAAATGTTTCTTTCAAACAAAATGCCATTTACAGAATCCAGTTCTCTTTTTCTTTTCTTTTTTTTCTTGTCACAATGTTTCGGCCATTCTACTCTCAAATCTTCCTTGGGCGCCTGTCGTCAAAGTAACCTTCATTGAATATTAAACGACGTTCTTCAGGAGAAACACTAGCGTTTCAAAGAAAATGGCAGACGTGAAAGTTTCCTGTTTGAAAGCCGAGTAGAGAGAAACGCCCAAATTCTAATCCGAAAATAACCTTCATTTTAAAATTAGGAAGGAGATTAGGATGTGACAAAATCAAGAGATGAGCTCAATCCATGTTCAGAACAGTCCCGGTGTAATATCGGTTCATCAACACAATAACATAAGTGACAATTAAAAAGTTTAAAGTCTCTAAAGAGGACACTAGGAGGACACATGCGAGGACACCAAGTAGGACACTCGATGCGACAAAAGACATGATAATATCTTGGAATAAAAAAAAATGAAAATGAGATTTTTATTCTAAATTTATCATTCAATATGTACATGAATGCCTAAGGGTTTTTGTCTATGATTCAAATTCATTTGCTTTTGTGTTTCTGAGAAAGAAAATCGCCTTTTAGACTAGCGATAGCGACGCGAGAAGGAAGACGCCCATTAGACTGTTCACTCTCCCGTCACCTACGCTTCATCTCTGCCTCGTTTGTCTATAGCAGTAATATACACCCAGAGGATAAAATCTGCTTACTGTTACAATTTTTTTAAAGCTTTAATTCATGGATGACGATCTGACCGAAGGTTTATTTTTAAGTCGCAAGCGTTTGATTGAAAGAATCTTCACCCTGAGAACGAACCTGAGCAGCAACGCCACAGTTGGTGACCATCCTGAAAGGGGACTTCGAATTTACAAAATGGGTGGATGTTGGGTTCACAGTTTGGTCAAAATAACCAAAGTGTCAGTGCGCATTCATATTAAGTGCCTGGATTTATTTGTTAAAGTATTAACGTCTTTACTACAAGCGATACAGTTTCTCACATTACCAACATAAAGCAACATAAGTTATTTGTGTTTAAAATATTCTCTTAGTATTATAATTATTTCACAACATTGTTCAAGTCTATATCCAGTTCTAACATTGATGATGATGATGATGAGAAACACTTTCTTCACCTACGGCAGAATGCACGATTCATACGACTGAAGATATGCAGTCACTTTGCGGTTTTATGGGCCGATGAAACTCCATCAATGGCCTGGGCTGCTGGGAGATGAGTGTTTTTATCGAGTCCCTATCTCTGGAATGATTACCTATCACGGTTACAGGACCCAGTCCACTCTACTATTCGACCTATAGCTGTATGTATTCATTCAAGAGTATTTGCTTGTAACTGAATGTAGCGAACACGACTAAGATTTGAACTCGGCTCTCCGATTTCTCATTCCGAATCTCTATCCATTTACATCACTCGCACATCAATTTCATATTACTTTTTGCCTATTCATTCATCTCGAATCTTTTTTTTTAACTGTGTCGGCTCCTTTTACTTCACGTTTTCTGTTGTCAATTTTTCCTTCCTTTTTAATCGGTCCCAATAAAGAAATTTCGAAAATATTATGTCTTCACGTTGCTAGTATGGTCATTTTTCGTAGGTTGAGCACTTTGGAAGAAAGGGAATTTGTCAACTACTGCTGATTAATGCTAAAAGTTCTTCGCTATGAACTGAGCCCTCTGGTAGTCAGTAATGGCTATATATCGTATATAATACGT